CACGCAGATGCTCTGCGATTATGAATAAATAGATAAAATAAATAAATATTTGATTGCTGCAGTGACTGTTATTTGAAAGCGTTCCAAGAAAGCAGAAACGCCTCAATATTGGGTTTAAATATGAAACAGTAGGTGCTAATTGAAATACCATGAAGAATGAGAGTGCCCGACACTGGTCCATCTTTTTTGGTGGGGGAAGATTGGGAGACGAGCACTCAACAAGACTTAGGTGCAGAAGTAAGAGGACGACAGATGGAGACGAGAGGAGCATAGCGGGGAGCGAGTCAGTAGACACTGTTACGTACCTGTGAGTGTTCCCTTGAGGCGGCAATGGCAGCGAGTTCCGAGCCTTTAGGGCCATTTCGCATTTTTAGTGGTGAAATTAGTCCCATCTTTGCTGTTGAGAACCCTGGGTACTTGTTCGCGGGGGAATGGGATTGATATATTCACGAAGTGTGCCTTTAGTTCATAATTGTAAGGTCTTTTGACTTGAGTTATTCTCGTAGGAAAAGTTTATATGTGCCTCAGCCGTTATTGTGGCTTACAGGTTTTCCAGGAAATATCAATCGATATTTGGTCTTGAAGGATAAGGTGTTTTGTTTATAGAACCGACTTCGTGATCAGCGATTGTGACGAGGAGCTGCTTTTTAACGTGCCGTTTACGGGTCAAGTACGCATCAGCGGTCTTTCTGTGATTGGTGATGACGACGGAAGTCACCCGGCTAAAATTCGAGTTTTCAAGGATCGACCCGCGGTTCGTGACAGCTTCTCATACTTTGTATCGAACAATTTCGCTTAGCTTTCCACGTAGAGTAATTAAATGGCAGCCGACCTCAGCGTTCATGCCTATTTTCATAAATAAGACTCGGTTTGGGCGATGGAAAAGTCCAAATTATTGGAGCCTTTTTTCTATGTGTAGTCCGGAGAATCACTTATACGGTCACTTGAATCACTTATTGGTCTTGCGACCGTGCTTGTTCTGTGCAGATTTTGTCAACAAATTCATTGGCGAGGTTTGCATTGTTGCGTTTTAAGGTCCTTTCAAGCAATTGCTCGGCGTATATCTGAATGTTGGCATTGCTTAAATTTTTGCCAGAATTTTCAGCTTTAAAATGGCATCATACCAGCAAGTTTGACAAGTTTACTTCTACAAATTCCATCTCGGTTCAAATACAGCAAAAATGCTCGAAATATTAATGTGGTGTGTGCCAAAAAGAAAGTGCTATCCAAAGAACTGTTCACATTGGTTCCAAAAGCATCGCTGTGACAAATTCGATCATCAAGATGAAAAAGGTCGCTTATATGATTCTGCGTCGATTAGCTATCATGAAGGATTTGGTGGAAGAAAACGCACGCAGTGCTGTGCAACAATCCGCGATGGTCCTGGGTGTAGTATGGAATTGGGAGGCTGAAAAAGGTGGACCAATAAATTTCCTGCAAGTTGGGTTGGGCAAGCAACAGCGGTGTCGTCGGTGTGAGCTGTGTCGGCGCTTCTTTTGCGCAGCAAGAACAATACTACAGTACGAGGGTGGTCGTCCTCCTGTCTCAGCGGCGGAGTTTAAGGCTCTGACGAAGGCGAAGAAGCCGAAACGTAAGCCTAATAAAAAGTTCAATCTTGAAAGGCTTGAAGAATCATTCCTACTGAACTAACCATGCCAGGATTGCAAGAAGGTCGAACATGGACGAAGAACAATACTGTTCTTGAGAGTTCCTTAAGGTAAGACTGGAATCGATCCTTTGTGGTAATCGGATAAAAGCGGCTCAGTGGTTAGGCCGCACTGAGGGACGCCATCTTCCCAATTCCAATTGAAGGTCATGCTGTATGGTAGTCTGCTCCAGGCATGATTTGGGGGACACTATGAAACTTATGGTTAGTGAAGCAATTTACGGTATAGTAGTTGATTTATAATTTGGACCAAATCCATTGGAGATCTCAACTACTGAATTCGACCTCAGTCGAAGGCGAAGGACTTACCCTCACCCACAGCAATGCTGTCACACGTCGCACAACTCACGTTCCAAAACCCGAACAAATCGGGATACGAAACCGTGCTTCATTCGTCATATTTGACGAGCCATTTCCCCACCATCAACCATTTCTTTAGGAGCCCCGACAATTTCTTGAAATAGAATATGCTTTAGTAGGCTAGCCCAGGTGAAGACTGATTCAACGGTTTCATCGATCATAGGAGTTTACATAGACTTCATGCAAGAGAAACAGTTACACTGTCCCGCGTTCGCGATGATCTTACTCCACTGGTTTTTATTTCGATGTTAATGTCTGCGCTAGTTTTTGACCCTTCATCTCAAGACGGCATATATCGTTTTAAGAACAAGGGTCAAAACTGACATCAATTTATGGACAACCTAATTAATTCGTTAAAACATATTCGAAGTCTGGTCTCTCCAGACCATATCTACCGGAGCATTTCGCAGCGACTGTAGCTTAAAAATCGCTTTTGGCGTTCGTCTACTTCTGCTCAAGGTCCTAAAAACGCGTTAGTGGACGCAAATGGCATCAAGAAGCCTACTTGTGGCAATGGACCCTCCAAACTACCTTTGACAGCAGGGCAAAAAATCTCAATTGCCAATGTCGAAAAAGATAAGAAAAAACCACAAATCTGGGGTAGGGTGCAGTAAGCCTCGTACCGGGGGTGGGTCAGCTCATCCCAACTTCGGAGTTCAGACTGCAAAGCATTCGTCCACTGAGAGCTTTCACCAACGTGCTCTATTGCTATTGGTGATAACAATAAAGGCAAAGGTACAGATTTGCTCACTCGCAGAAACGAATAGAATTCTTGTTTTTTTTTTTCGTCAGCGCTTGTCCAAGTGTTGCAAAAAAGCTCCAGCGAAAGCCTCTAGGCTCCTTATGGGACGTTCATGGTGTATTCAGCAGACTTGGTGCCAGAACACCCATTTGCTGCTGTTGCTGTCAAACCATTCGGAAGAGAGGAAGTTCGATGATCCTGGTCGTCCCCAAATAGACACCGCCGAGTTTTTTGCAACTAAAATCACCCTTTTTCAGATGTCGTTTGATGATTGTTTGATTGAACCGGATCAGGAAATCGATCTTAAGCAGGATCCCAACGGTGCGAAATAGTCTTGGTTTTACTTCAGTACCATTTAGTCTCCTTGCCTACATGCGTTGTGATTAAGGCGTTGTTGATTATCCGCTGAAGGCCGCGAAATTTGGCACTGTATCGCATCTGAGCATTCACGTCGCGAAGAATTTTGGAGATGAACAGACAAAAGTGAACTATATCGGTCTACGAGGTGAATATCAGGCAGATTTTCGTCAGCAGGTCAGTGTGGCTCCGAATCATGTATTTTTCAGAATATGTGTTTGCCATTTCTATCTGCCGCTTTCGATTTCCCTGAAGTGTTATTACAGGGTATTCGAAAAAAAAGAATTTCCCAGAAACTACTTGTTGTATTCTTGTGGAAACTGCCGGTGGAAGGGTATTCATCAAAAGGTGTTGAACTGAAGTATAAAGAAACCGAGCTACTTGAATACTGCTCTGACCCGCCAGATGCTCCGCACCCAGCAGGTGACGTAACTAACAGATCGCCTACAATAGGAAATGAGATCATATCACAGGAAACACATCACAAGTGGACTCAACAGCTTCCATAGGATTGACGACTCCAGTACGACTTGGCGTACGGGTCGATCAGAAGGAAATCTGGGCGTCGGGTGCTGCTCCATCGTCTATGTGCGGCTGTCGGAGGCTCTGAACGTGTGAAGAGCCTCCGATAGCCGCATGGAATGTTGGAGACAACGGTGGCGTCAGCGTCCTCAAAAGCTGGTGCGAAGATGTATAGCATGTCGAAAGCGTCCATTGTGGGCTCTTGCGCAAGGCACGTGGGCGTATTTGCTTAACCTGGCGATTCTACATGGATCTTCGAACCACACGTCGTTGAGCTTTCAGAACAATCCGTCTAAAGACGCGCATCCCTTGGGTTGTTACGTGTGTGAAACTAGCCATGGCAGGGTCGGTCCTATCGTTGCTACTTTTCAAAAAGTTTTTACGACCCCCCTCCCTCATGAAATGTTTCATACGACCCCCTCTTTCAAAACAATTTTTACCCCAAAAATTACCGTCGAGCGGGGGGGGGGGGTATAATACTTACCGTAAAACCGCAAATTCCCTACATTTTTGCCCTTATTTCTAACTGCTACCAAGCTCTAAGGAGGGGGGGGTATATACGCGCGCTGAAACGGCAAATTTTCTCCCGCGCCGCTCCCCACTCATCACATGCAACTTCTTACAACCGAAGCAAGTACGACCCCCCCCCTCTACAAACTCATCAAAATACGACCCCCCCGTTGCTACTTGTAGCAACATAGGGTTGACCCTGGACTAAGGATGGTTTGGCTGAACTCCTAAGTTAGGCTTTCTCATCGGTTGAAGTGCTTTTTCATGACAATGTTGAGCCTAGTGGCATCTTGGTAGACTCCGGCAGATCCAGCCTGCTTAGCGTCACTCGAGACTTTTCTGCGAAAATCTATAGGCGATGCGCTTACACAGCAAATGCTTGTAAGCAGGAATGTCGAGACGCTATTAGGGTCGATCCACTTTGGTCATTCTACCACTTTTCCATGTGAGAGTGTATCAAAAGTGTCGAGAAAGCCGTTCAACTTGTATTTCCTTCTTCGGGCAAAGATCCTGGAACTCAACGGGTAACGGACAGTCATTAATGCCGAGACGAATGATGCCCCGGGAAGTCGAAACAGAGGAAGACGATATTGAGAGTTCTCTTTTAGCGGTAGCTGGCTTTTTGTAAAATCAGATGTAATGATTGCCGACTACCAACTCAGAGTATCAGGCCGAATAACCACCAGATAAGAAATTCGCGTCAACCGGGGGCTTATACAATTCAATGTGACCGCCTTCCAGGGCGAATCCCTGCTAGATCACGAACAGAGTTTGTTTCTTGACTGGTAACTTAGTCGACTTCTGACAGTCGGCGCAGATGCGAACAAGCTTCTTCAATTCGTCGCTGTCCGTCCAGAATACATGTGTAGCTGTGAGCAAGGTGCTAACCGAAAAATTTCACCCACGTAGAACACAATTTTAAAATTATGTTTCCTCTTGAAACTAGTTCATCCCATCTCGTTAAATTTTACTGCTCTTTTCTGTAGATAATCATCTACAAACATGTATATCTAGGTCTTGTTCCTCATTCTTATTTTTCGCCTAGATTCATGCTCAAACCCTTTTTAGAGCGGAAGTGGCCCATTTTCCGACCACTCCTGTGAACACTGTAGGGTTGATCCCTCGCCGGAGTTGTCAAAATGTTAAAAAATCCCGCTTTGGAATAGGTTTTTAAAACAGTACTTGTCTTACTCTGTAATAAATTTCCAGCAAAAGTTTGTGTTTCATGCAATAGACAGTCAAAAAGTGTGGTGCTTCGAGCTTTTCATTGTGCTATATTACTCGTTCTTTCTTTTGAAATATATTTTTTCCGTCGCTAAACTCGCCTATGTATAGAAGATCGAGTAAATAGCGTAATCTGGAAATTCCCAGATGGTGAGCTCAATTTCATCCTCCGCTCAGTAGGCGTGAAGCGAGCTGAGCAAAATAAGCATGGCTTTGGAAGGTTTTCTGGTATGCGCCATGTATAAGTAGGCTCACTGTGACGCATGTACCAGGGTTTTAGCTGGACAGTGGTCATCGTTGATGCTGTTGAAGAGCGCCGGACATGTGAGGGGAACAATAAGCTGAAAAGATTCAGTGCAAATTGGACGAATTCCTTCAAAACTTCCATGTTTTCTATGCCAAAATCGCGGATTTTTAATTCGTTCGGCCATTTCAACGGTAAGTGCCAGTGCACGGGGTCGTTAGGTCTACGCGATTTTGAGTACAGGGTTGGCAAGGCGCTCTTGCTACAGTTGGAGCCCACCAGTCTCTAGGAAATTGCTCATCAGTGATTTGATCGAGTGGAAAAAGTTCCACTCGATCAAATCACTGATGATTCCAGGAGGAATTGGTTCTGGCTGGAGCAGTTAATAGGCTCTTTGAGCTGATCAGCTTGATGTTTTGAAACGGTGAAGACTGAAAAAGAGCATCGAGGAATCCTTCAAAAGTTCCTGTCGCGGAAAGGTAGTTATCCTGCGCGATGGTGCAAGTTTTTTTAACTCTTACAAGGGCGGAAGTGGTGTAGTGACAAGTGGCGCGCTTACCACGCGAGCGGTCCGGGATCAAATCCTGGGTCGTGAGTCGCCCGGGCCAACCAAGCCTTCCATCCCTCCGGGGTCGGTTAATTGGTACCAGACTTGTCTGGGAGGATAAAAACACTGACTTGTACATCGGCTGGCCCCCGCAAGTCATTGTATAGGCCACATCGCATTCAAACGCCACTACGAATGTACAAATGGAAGTAGAATGCGTGCCGCATCCCAAAAAGGGATTGATCAACGGCAAATGCTTTATCCTTTATTTATCCTTTATGATTAATTGTAAATTTAATTAAAAACTAGAAAAAAACCGTTACGAGTACAAGGACGGAGTAATGTAATCTTGTTTTGGCAGAAATGCTTGAAAAAACCACCCGCAATCGCTTGGTAATTTGGAGCATTCATGATGAAGTGGTTACATCAAAGAGCTCAGGCTGATTACTAATACGCACATTTGCTGATGATTTCAGTAATTGATATCTGCCGATTGAATTTGCTCTGATTAAATCGCTTCTTCTTCATATAAATTTTGCAGATTCCAGGACTTTGTGGCCGAGAAAATCTTTCTAGTTTAAAAACATTGTGTCTGATGGGTTTATGTGATGCTTTTTACAGATCTACTACTTCTCGCATCAAGAGGGAAAGCGTTTTGAGCACTCTTCAGGCAAGAAATCTGCTAGAGGGACAGCAACGTTCGAAAAAAAATTGGTGGAAAATTTCAGCACATCCCCCAAGTTAGAAGTTTTCTAAGGCAGCTCTGAACGTCTTAAACGTAAACTGCACTTTGAGATTATCCGATTACTGTTAGTCCAAACAGGAAGTTGCCTAGCGATGAATTCTTAGTAAATCCGCATTGTCATGGATGAGTTTCCGGAACGTCACAGCTCGCATCGTGCTAAATCGCAGAATTTCCGTTATCGATCGACTTCAAAAAAATCGGGTAAAGGGTGAAAGCCGAGGTAAAACGCGATTTCGTATGGAAATCAAGAGTGCGGTATCTTTTTCAGCAACCCAACCCATTCTCATACACATCGTACAAGGTGTTGTATAGAGGGTTCAATTTTGGTAGCGAGCTTATTAATTTCGAAGAATCGGAGCAGTTTATAAGGGAAGGTATGGTATTTATCAGATGTTCAGGCTTGGTTATCATACACCTGGTATTCTTGCCTAAACACTTAGTTCACTCACCCTTTATTTAGCTGTCATGTCTCGGGAGGATACAAACAGATTGGGAGGGAAGGTAACCCTGTAGTAGAGAAAAAGCTTGATTAAATGGGAAAGAACCACGATAGCTTTCGCGTGGCACTCAGAGTAGCACAGCAAGACCATCTCGATGGAAGCTGACCGCAGGTAACCCCGGAGGGTGTGTTATCTGGTAACATCAGAAGATAATATTGATCAAAATCACGAAGCCAATTTCGGTGTGGGATTCTAGGCTGCGTTTCATAAAATATATTTAGTCCAAAATTTTTGCTGTACCAAACTAAGTGTACACTTTGGAAAAATTTTGTGGTTATCAATAAACTGCCCATGCCGAAAAACCTGGGTAGAGTTTTCTGAAGCAATATCAACCTTAACTGAATTAGATATTTTCTTCTGAGCAATTTTTTACGCTTTCACAAATAATGGCCAACTCATGAGATCTCTCATCTTATGGTTAGATACATGAAAGTAAATTAGGATATGGAACCAAACGTGAAATCACTCCATGTCGCTCTTGCCAGTGCCTCTGCTACACACAGTTCACATAAGTAAGAGGTTCACGCCAGGGCAGATATTGGA